TCAGGAACCCAGAGTACTTCAGTTCTCAGATTTCTCCACTAGCCCTTAGCTCCTGTACAGCCTATTTATGTATTTTTATTCTTATTTAAAGATTTTTTTTAGTTTTATAGTAAAATAATAATAATAATAATAATAAATATAAAAGCATTTTTGCACCGAAAGAAACGAAAATAATTTCCATGCTTCTCTCTTTGGAATTGGAAGCAGTTAAGATTCTTCTCTTAGAGCTTTGGCAACAATATAAATCGCTTCAGGACAGAAGCTGTATTTTGGTTAATCTTCTTTACTTTTTTTTCACTTTGTTACCTTCTGATCTTGTTGGAATTTGTGAAGTCCTTGGATGGAACTTAGGAGACATCATTGGTTCAAAATCATTTGGATTACCAAAACTCTTTAGAATTAGTTCATTTTGAGAGACCAGTATTGGAATATGCCTAACATTCAACTTAGGCTGTACATAATAGGTTTAGCCTGTTGCCCATTAATCCAAAAGGATGAAGTACTAGTACAGCAAGTACAAACATACTCACGTGGGCAGCACCACATGGGCTAATAAGATACTTACACGTACAGACTCATGTTAGCATTTAGGGTTATAAATACCTCCCAACTACCTCCGATGAAGATAATTAATCTGGACTCCACTCTCTCTCTGCAATTACTCTTTGAGAGCATTTCTTTCTAGAACATCGAGTATTGCTGACTTAAGCATTAGAGTGTTTTTACTGAGGAAACCTCCTCGGGAATTTTAAGTGTGGAAGCAGCTGAAGACCTCAACCGTGTTGGATCGTGAAGTTGCCCAAACATTTGGCGCCGTCTGTGGAAAAGTTGAACAAGAAGTTGTGTAACTTAATCTATTGAAAGACAAAATGGTTCGTACCTTTACTGGAAGTCGCCTTCTAAGAAATGAAATAAATGAACAAAAAGACACTTAACTATCTAAACTCGGCTTGCATGATTTTAGGCTAATGCTGAGAAACCTTTTTGTTGGAGGAGCGGAACAGGAGCAACTAAGTGGAACAGATGATGATGAAAGAACACCAACTGGGTATGCAACTCAGCCTGAACAATTTCAAATTCCAACACCGGGCAATCTATGTTGTCAATGGTGTTGATCGAGTCAAAACAATCATCTTTCAGCGTAGAAGATTGTATTTTTCTTAAAATGTTTTGTAATTTCATTTTTTTTTTTTTTTGTAACTTGATTTCTGTATAAAATCATCAATTTATCATAATTTGAAACAAGTTTAGTTATCCAGTCCGCAACTTTAGGATTAGTTTATCATTTCTTCTTCTTTTTTTAATAGAAGTTAGAATATGAGTATAAAATAATAATTTTATATGGAAATAATTGAGTTATAAGTGATAATTCTACGTAAAAATGATGAGTTATAAGAGAATAATTTGAAATTTTTTAAAAATTTTCATTTTAGAAAAAGACATTCTTTTACTATGGAAGGTGATCTTTTTGACTCAATCAATAACATTGATTACATAATCTCTTAAAACGAGATAATTTTAGAGAGTTTTGACAATTATAAAGATGATTTTGAGCTTATAATATCTCTTAAGTTTTGTCCTAGAATGTCTTTATACAAGTTCAAAAGGTACAGAAGTGAGGTAAAACAAAAAAAAAAAAGTCGAGATTGAGCAGAATACAGCTGCCTTTCAAGAACCCATTCATATTGCGGCCTAAGCTCTTAAAGAAGAATGGAAGATTTAGAATTGGTTACTACAGCTTATTTACATCTTAAAAATCTTGATGACTCAAAAGAGCAAATACTTGGATGCCACTGGAGAAAGAGAAATAGAAACGTTCGAATTCATGAGGATTGTTCTTCCTAGTGGTCATTGAAGATATCAAAGATATCTTCTTTTTTCATGTTTGCTTTGAATAAGGTTTGGCACGTTTATTCTTGCCAATAAAAAATGTTTGTGGCTTTCTTCTTCTTTTTTTTTTGAATGAATTACATTGAGTTAAAAGATACACTTTCAATGTAACTCAAAACTATCAAGTTACAAAACCCAAATGAACTTGTGGTTTTACTTTTTGATAGTCATATTATTTGAACTTTTATTAAACTTTGTTAAATTTCCAATGGTTGATTTTAGTGATCTTGTTTTAAACTTTTAATTGATATTTTAATTTGTTTTTTTCACAAATTAATTATCCTAATAAATTTTCGACCTCTAAAAAGGCCTTTACTATAATGGACAAGGAATTTCCATTCGTATACATTAACTCACAAACGTGCCATAAGGTGGGGCCTTTGCATAAGCCTTCTCTTATGGGGTTTATTTCTTCAAAGCATTCGTCTCCCCAGATATGTAAAATAAATTGAATTGTTGCTCATTGAATTTGCTTATCAGATGATTTGAAGAGTAAACCAAGAGAGACTGGCTGAATACCTTGGGGAGCTGCAGCAGAAAGAGGATACAAATAATCCATATGTGGCTGCTCTGAGGGAGAAACATTGACGAGGAGCCCTTACTAGAGAATTCAACCTATTTGAAAGCAAAAAGACAGCAAAGTTGATACTCAACAGAAGACCAACAAGGCCTAGGAAATTCACATCGGCAGCCAGAAGTCTTTATAAGACACGAATATTCTTTGGTTGAGGAGGAATGTTTCCAATTCAAAATGCCACATATTGTTTGTGTTTTGCTTGAACACAACATTCCAGAGCTCATATAGGCAAGTCCTTTAAAAAATTTCTGGTATGCACGCTCTAACTGCTTAATATTGTTTCCCTTTCTTCTCTTTAACTGCTATGAAATGTTTATCCTTCAATTTGCTGGGAGTTGATGATTATTCGACATTATATGCTAATGCAAAACCATATACTATTGTTTATTTCTGCTCCTGAAATTGTCTTTTTCTATTCAAATACAAGTAGTTTACAGATCGCTGGGGAAAATAAAATTCATAAAAACAAAGGGATGCATGTCGCAGGCGTCATAATTAAAATCTTTTAAAGAAATGAAATGAAAAAAAAACAAAAAAACAAAAAAAAAAAAAAGACAAAGACAAAGAAAAAGGATCGAAATACACCATAGCATGCCTAATTCAACCAACCTACACAAAGTCGTCAAGGAAACAGCCTCAGATGGCTGGTGATCCTCTTGCGGCATATCGGGCAGTTGGATACTTTTGGGCCACATTCCCTGCAAGTCTAACCAAAAGAGTAGCTATTAGCCAAAACTACAGCACTGGACACTAATCAGTGAAGAAAGGAAACATCTAGAATATGTGGAGTACAACTCACCAAGTGGCCACATCCTAAGGCCAAGTCCCTAACGTTTGTAATACAGATTGGGCATACCTGCAATGGAGTTGCAACATTGAAAAGAAAATAGTCGTTAGGGGGAGCAAATCAGCGCTCAGAAAAGGGTTAGTAAGATATGCTTATAAAGTGAAAAATGAAGTTGTCAAAGATCGATCATACCTGAGCACTAACATCTACAGTGGATGATGAGATGTCGCTGGGTTCACTGTCTAGTCCCTGGGGTCTTGAAGCGTAGAGTAATGGAGGAGGGCATGGAACCATTTTTCTTGCCCTTCCAGTTTGATGTCTTCAAAAAGGAGTGAGCATGAACAAATCATTTCAATCTCTTAGCACCGCTAGTTCAATCAGAATCAGGTAGGGTCAATCCGAGGTTTAAAAGTTTTAGTAAACCTACCCAAGTAAACCTAGTTCAATGGTTGCTTTGTACTGAAGGGGGATCCCCATTAGGGCAGCAAGAGCAAACTCAATTTCTTTCTTCGATTGACTTTTATTGTTGGACATGATTTCTGTGAAGTTAACAAACTGCATGCAATAGGAAAACAAGTGTGTAGAAGTGAGTGATAAATAAATGTGAAGGCCAACAACAACTAACAACAAGTTGAACTTGAGGTTTTGAGTCTCCATCCAAAGCGTTGTTAGGTTGTTTGGCTAGTAAAGGCTTCATCCCAGGCTGTTCCTTAGTTGTAGGAATACTAGAGCAGCACCTGAAAGTTGTCAAAGTCACGAACAGGAATCTTATCATGAAATTTCTTCATGTCTTCCCAAGGTCCGTCACCAACACCAACAAGAACAATTGACAGTGCATGCGAACTGGATAGAAAAAACTCTAGTTTACTACTTAATATCAAATGATATAAGTATGTAAGTGGAAGCAAAACAAAATCAAAATTCACCTAGAAGACCACACCTTGCATCAACGATTGACTTTATTGTTCTCGCTTCTTGTGAACTCAATTCTTCGTGGCCTGGATTGTTACTTCTTGTGATCTTCATGATTAGCCAAAAAGAGAACAAAATTGAAAACTGCAGTACCAATATAACATAGAGGCAAATATGCACGGAAACAAGAGAAACTGAGGGATTGAAATTCACCTGGCCATCTGCAATAATAACCAATACATGGAATTGGCCACCACTGTTTTCTACAATGTCTACTGCAGCATCAATTACTGGTCCATAAGAAGTCGGCCCTACAACACAATAATGTTTATCTTTGAATCTTTTCACTTTTGCAATAAAATGAAGACCAATGGTATAATGAGATGATGTAAATATAGTGTCGGTTGGAGAAACAGATTGACAAAATGAATCCACAGAAGAAAATGCTAACCAGAAAGTCCTAGGTTCGGAACAACGTCTTTGTAGCAAGCTAAGACTTCCTCAAAACCATGGCAAGGAGAGTGATCATTGTGAAAACTAAACACTTTTTGATCATGAGTGGTAGCTATGACAGAAAGATCAATCATGTCATTAGAAAAATGTAACATTGTAATCAGATTATCTAAACTTGTGAAAATGTCATACAATCACCAAAGCCGAAACATGGAATTGAGTTGTCATCATCAAAGGGGGCCAAAGTCTTTCCAATTACAGAGATGGCCTTCTCATATGGATTTTCTGTATCTCCAATTGCATGTAGACTCTCACCATTGAACGAGACCTCACCTTCAATGATAACATAGATGCATTAGGATCCAAGAAGTACCAAACAAATGCACAATTTCAAAATTTTATAACTGGCTGTTGAATCACTGTGTTACCCCAGGATTGAATGATGTTTTGGAAACTTTATTGAAAAAGCACAATGGTGAAACAGAAGGAAAGGTGAAAAACATAATTAATGTTGGAATTATTGTTAGAAATTTGGCATTCAAACCTGCAAAATGATGAAATGAAACTGCCATGAAATGGCAGCAATGAGGCTGATAATTGACAGCAAATATGGCAGCAATTTAGCTGCAAATATGATGGAAATGAAGCTGTCAAATGACAGCAAAAATGTTCAGCAAGCTAAGCTGCAAATGCTGATGAAATGAAGCTGCAATGAACAGCAAATGAAATGCAAATGCAAATGAAATGAAAGGGTGCAAAGTGGCTGCAAAATCACAGCAAGCATGCAGCTAAAGTGGTTGTCTTTTACATGTTTTAGATGTACTTTTATTGTTGCTTTTTAATGTAGAAAAGTTGCTTACACAAAATAAGAAACTTTTTGAACTGTTTTTAGATTGTTTTCTGGTACATAAAGCAGAGTTTGTTAATGAGAAATTTGAGTTGGAGTGTTATACTCTCCACTTTAGTTTATGTTCTGCTCTTCATCTTCTTTCAGATTCTCTCCATTTCTTTGTTTGAAAAAAAAACCAACACAATTAACCCAGAAAAGGAAGTGAACACATTGATAATTTCATGCAATAGTTTTGATAAGAAGAGATGGGGAAAAACTTTAGGCACACTTGGTGAATGAATTTATTTTCTCCACTTAAAGAATACCTGTCCAAGCATTGCTTTTGGTGAAGTCAATTCCAAGGATGAGATTACGAGATTCTAAACCAGCATCTCTCAGGGCATTTGTAACCTGTAAAAGGGGAGAGCATGGTAAGAAATTCAAGAACCCAACAACTTGGAACCGTATTTAGTAGTTGCTTAGTATTCACACCAATTCACTGACTTCTATTTCCAAAAGTTAAAGGTTCAACCTCCTCCTAAATTATTGAAGGTAGGACAAGTAGTGAATATCATACTTTAGCTTAATGAATACATTGTCACCAGCATCAAAGCATTAAAAAGCACTCCTACTTTAGGGCGCCACCCTGAGGTGCAATTTTCTAAAGCTCCACTCATTAGCTTCTTCAACTCAAGGATATTATATGTGGGGGTTGGCTCCATGTCTTCTTATTATTGGTTAAGCACTTCTTACTTATCCTCAGACTACTCAAAGCAACTGTTCACCATCTTGAAAGTTTGGTAGAAACCAACCATGAGCTCAAGTTGTTCCAAGCTATGAGCTTGAGCCCTTCCTGGTTCCTCTTGACTTGGGATTCCATGTCACCCTATCCCATAACAGCAGAATCTTTAATGGCATTTGGAGAAATATGCCCATATAGTGAATGACTTCATTTTTCATTTTGCACCTCTACACTTAATAAATCTACCACTCTACAGCTACAAGTCAAGTCAATCTCGTAGATTAATTTCTTTTTAATGAACCTAAGGAATTTGAGCGAAGGAGGGAATTTTTTCGAATAAGTAGTGGGAGTAAAATTCTCAACCCCTTGCCCCCCAAGCTCTTAAGATTGGTAATGAACTATTAGATCCAATGTACTAGTCCAATCTTATAGATTAATTGAGGTTTGGTTTTACAATATTTCTCAAAAACCTTTTTCATGCATGACCTAACCTTATCAAAAAATGAAAAAAAGTGTAAATTTTTAATTTTTAATTAATTTTTTAATATATTTTTATTTATTTTAATTAATATTTTAAATATTTTTAAGATAATGAATTAATGACGAAATATCTAGGGTTACATCAAGACGACACAGCACAGTTATGCAATTTGTCTGTGATAATATCCATTGTGGGTCTCCCCTCAAGTCAAGATCTACCAAAACAAAAAAAAAAAATGGCAGACAAGAAGATGAAGATGATATACCATCCTCTTAATCTTGAAAAAGCATTAAGATTGCAGGAACCGAGTCTAATTATGGTAACTGAAACAAGTTCAAGGAAAGATAATAAAAAAAAAAAAATTGAGGAAGGAAAGGGAAGAGAGACCTGGTCAAGGGATGAGAAATCATCAGGTTGCTTCCTCTGCAGAAGGGAAAGCTTGCATAGACTGCTATTAATACTGCTCATGTCCATCTTCTTCAATCTCCAGAGAAAGGAGATGTATAATCATAGACAACTAGAATAAAGGGCGTTGATTCGTAGGCGCTTCGGAGAATATGGAACTTTGGAAAAGAAGAAAGAGAACAGAAATAGGAACTATGCTTAGCTTATTGTTTGAGCTAGATCTGCCGAGATGAACCTTCTTTGTATTGGGGAGCTCCCTTTTTTTTCCTTTTTTTGGGGGATCCTGGCTGCTCTTTTATACTTCTACATTTTGTTTGGATTTACGAAGTTGGAGGGAAAAGGGGAGGAGAGTGAAGGGGGAAAAGAGCTTTTTTTTTTTTTTTTTAATAAACATTTTTAACAGAGGAAGGAGGACGAAGTTGGAGGGAAAGGG